AGTTAGCAGCACTATTCCGTTTTCTTTGGCGAATTTTATTGATTCAATAAAAATGTGGCTGTCATGATTGTCCAAAATTAGGAGTACTGTATGGCTATTGCTTGTAGATGTCCCAGCAAAGTTTGAGAAATGTTGCAAACACTTTAAAAAATTTTCAGCTGTCATCCAGCCACTCTGATGGGCTAGTCCAAGACTTTGAGCAGGCGCTCCTGCCAGCATAAAATCCTTGAAATTAACTCTTGGGAATACAAATGCAGGGGGCAATGCATTTCCCATCGCATTTATGAAACAAAGAACAGTAACTAACTGCCCCCTTTCACCAGAAGTCACTTGGGCTACTTGCTTTTCCCCTTTTCTAGAAATGACATTTGGGGGTTTGTGAACAGTAGTGAAACCTGTTTCATCACAATTATATATTCTGTCTGGAGTGAATTCATATCTCTTCATAACATCTTCTAGATTCTTGAAAAAGTTCCTGACATTTGTTTTATTGAAGCTTGTACTTCGGGCCAAACTTGTTGCTTCGGGTGTTCTTACAGACAAATTCTTATTCCTGGTCATAAAGCCTTGCAACCAATCTAAACCAGCTTGGTTATTAGTAAACCAGGTTTTAGGAATTGTATTTGATTGTACAAGTTTTGCATATTGAAAAGCCAATTCCCTCGTTTGCAGTGTTGTTAAACCGTGATTCATTGATGATGCTTGCATTAAATACAATGCTAATTCTGCCTCCTGCTCTGTAGTAAAAACTTTCCTGTTACCCACATGCGGTGAATACACTACATTGCCTTTTTTATATCTTGAAACAAGTCTAGCCAAATGCGATTTTGCAATTCCGTGGGTACTGGCTGTAGCCCTGATTGATGCTTCTTTTTTGACAACTTCAATTATTGCCCCTTGAATCACTTCTGGCATCACACGTACTTTCTGTTTCTTTTTCTTATACTTTCGAGGCATTTTTTTTCTATTAAAAAAATTTAGCATTAGAGCATGCCAAAAACATGTCAATATGGGGTTGAAAGGGACATGTCCCATTCATCCCCTATTTTACTGTCCCTTTCAACCCCCAGGTCTCAAGCAACCAAAACTACAACCTAACTTTCTGACAGTGAAATATAATTTAAAACTGATTAAATAAACATATTGTAGAGGTTTCAAAGTAATTATCCCAATTCAAGTACATTATCCAATGATTATGTTTGAGATTTTACCCCTAAATGTAAAAAATGAAGAAAACTTACTTTTGCATGCGTTTTCTGCTCATCTGGGAATTCCAAACACTGGCGCTAGTGTATTGGACCCTACAAACGTGTGAAAACTATGGACTACTAGTGTCATCTATCTGTGAAATAACAAAGCTTCATAAGTAATTTAGCAGCAAGATATAGAGACTGTCCCTTTCATCCCTTGTCCCTTTCATCCCCACCCTCCCCTACTGTTTTCATGCTTTGCGATAAATTCCTTTTTCACCTCAATGATGCTACAACCTTCCTCTTAGGCTTCATTGTTTCCACACACTTCTTGGATGCAATGGTTAACAGAGATTATATATATAAACCAAACAAAAAATAAAACAAACAATGAAAAAACACAGCTTAATTCAAGAGCTGCTTTCATAGTGAAAGTGAGATAATTTGGGCACACAACAAACGGTGTTTATGCATTGAGCAGATTTTTTCACTGTGCACAATTTGTACTATGTTGAATTTCTCCCAAATTTAGCATTTCAAACTCTGGAACATTCAAAGTTAGTTGTCGAAAGCAGAGTTGGGAGTTGCTGGAGTTTGACATTTTTGGTTAGTTGGTAAAATTCTTTCAACTCCAGTGACTCTGACCTTGAAGTTTACTATTGGTAAAATGTGAAGTAAAAAATATACTTTTTAATTAATTAGTATTTAAAGAAATTTCTTATAAAACTGACATTTCGATAAATATAGACATCAAATGATACTAACCCATAAAGGCTGTTTTATAGCAAAATGTTATGCATATGACATGTTCTATACTTTCAGAAAATAGTTTTTATTAATTTAAAGTCCACCAGTGGCTGAGTGAACACCTGTAGTTAGTTAGTCATGGGAACATGCCTGGAAAGTAAATGCTTATGGTATAGCTTCAAAGCACCATACTTATCTTTACCAAAGAGAAAAAAGTTGACCATTTCATTTTCATAATTTTTACTTGATGCAATATTTTTTTTACTTTAGATGTTTTCCTTTGAATATTAATTTCTTTTTTTACTAATATTTTCACTACTTTCACTACTATTGGTTTCAAGTTATTTATGACTATTATAGCTTTGATAACATAATATGTCTTAAAACAGCCAATAAAATAGAGTGAAAAAATAAAACAGAGATCAGAATCTAACTGCAACAAACTAAGAGGAAGAGAGAACTGCAAAATATAATTAATAGAATTGTTCCAGCTTATTATTCACTGGTTTAAGTTCTTGAGACCAATTGCACCAATTGGTTTAATCAAGATGATTGATTTCCCCCCAAATTTCATATTTTAATATTCTACTGCATACTTCAGTTTAGTCAACTGTTGCAGCAATTCACTGATTTTGGTAGGAAATTAACTATTCCCATTGTAGTTGGAGCTGAAACTATTTTACAGACCAATTGATTGTCATTCGTCAAATCATTAGTTTTTGCATTTTATTGTATTTAATTTTTTTTCTTGGAAAAAAAATTGATTTAAATTTAATTTTTTTTTCAAGAAAAAAAATTAAATTTAAATCAATTTTTCATAATTAACTAATAAAAGTGGAATTATTTTTAGCTATTAAGATGAAGTGTGTTTCTTTATGTACTCAAAAGTTTTCCAAGGTAAATTTATGATATCCATTTTTTGATTTTTACCATCAATTTCAGTATACTTTTATAGAGAAATTTTAGATAAAAATATTTGGATACTCAGTGGTATCTTTCTTATAAAAGGAATTGTAGTGTGACATTTTAAAAAAGGATAAAGTTGGAGTCAGATTTTTCATTTACCCACTCCACCACACTGGTTGAATGTACTGTACAAGGTACTACTGTAGTGTGGATTCAGTGTAGTAATTTTCTTGAATGTATTAATTAACAGCACTAAATTATGATATTCCTGTATTTATAAATTTGTTATGTTGCTGACATAATCTAAGTCATCTTTTAATTAACTTTCCTTTCTATTTTTAATTTGTAAGATTGAAAACTTGAAAAACTACTAGTTATAAAGAATGAAAGTGCTTGTTTTTATGTACCTTGCTTTGATTATGGTTTATTTTAGTGTATTTTAATGTTGTAAATTTGTACTTAATTTAATTAATAAATTTAACAGTAGACTAATTCTAGTCTGGAAACTTTCAAGGGTTTTTGGTGATATTTAAAAGGTTAAGTAGTAATGATTTTATTTCTAGGTGCAAGACCAGAAAGATTACCTCAGTTTGATGATGATTGCTGGCAATTAATGGAAGAATGTTGGGCTGGTGATCCAGGACAGCGCCCATTGTTAGGCGATGTAGAACCTCGTCTAACAAGAATAATGGAGCGTTACATGGATAAACCTGCTCCAAGTGGGTATCAGGATAAATTGAAAAAAGGAATGCGTAGATGTAGACATCATTCTCGTAAACATAAATAATTTAGAATAGTTTTAAATTAATTTTCTTATAGCACTTTAATATTAATTAAAAATGACATCGAAAAGATTTGTGGAAAATATAGTTTTAGAAGAAAATTAACTAATTACAAAGAAATTAATGGACTTTTATATAGCAACTTTAATTGACCTTTTTATTTAATTTTATATAAACATTGCATCTTGTTAAATGATATTTTTCTATAAGAGCAATGATTACATTAAAAAATTTTATATCATAATTAGGCTGTGCTCTAATTTCTTAAATTTTTTCAATGATATTTAATTAATATATTTCAATAAGTATTGATTGAATACTAAAATTTAAGATCCTATTGTTCAAATGATCAGACTTATAAAGTTTCATAATAAGTATTGTATGAAGTATCAAAGTTATTTCATAACAATAAATTTTGTATGTTTTTATAATTTGAAAATAATACTATTGAGCTTGAAATAAGTCTAGTTTTATGTATAATACAACAGTAAAATTGAAATTAGATATTCTGTATTCTATTACTATATTTAAGTATATTTTACAGAGTTTTCTTTATTGAAACAAAATTTATAATAGCTTAACCATGCATTGTAAAGTCTATGTTAGATAAATTGAAATACATGTATTCTTGAAATTATTATATTTTATTGAAATATGGTATGTTTTTGTATAACATGAATTGCGGTTTTTGAAATTCAATTTTTATGTCTAGTATAATAAAAGTAAAATTAATGAAAATAGGTAAGGAAATACTGTAATCAATAATATGCAGATATACTTATTATTAACATGTAATTCAACTTAATTATTAGCATTATTTACAGTTAACAGAAAAACATTAAAATATGTTTAAAACATTTTACTTACAGTATATTTTTACTATAATGAATATCATCATTTTAGTCTCATGTTTCTGAATATGTAGTGCAAACTTTATATTACCATATCAAGTGCACTATTTGGAAGAAATGAATAAAACTGTGCTATTTAACACAGTGAGTAGCATTCAATAGTTTGTTTGGAATGTCAGAAACTGGAGAATTACTGTTTGCTGACTAAAAATCAGATTGAGAAACAAACTAGGAGAGAGTTAACCTAATCTTTAGACATCTAGCAAAAATACAAATCCACATAAGTTATATCAATTTCATATAAAAACAAGACCTTACTGTAATTAAGTTGTCATTCAAACATACTGCACATAATTTTTATTTGAATTTTAATTTATTTCAAACTCTTATGTAATTCTTTAGATTATCAGAAACTGAAATTCAGATAGAAAATTTATTTTTATCCAGATGAAAATGAAATCTAAGTTCATAGTGTAGATATTACTTGGTTATTGAGACTTGATAATGAAATAACTAAAATATATAATGTTTCATCTGAAGTTTTTTGAATTGTGATCTATTATATACTAACTATATACGTTGATCTTATATCTTTGATTTTGATTACACTGTTGATCTTGATTACACTTAATCTTGATTTGATTTAAAACTTTGTGTAACCTATTCAAATTATTGGTTTAAATTATTTATTATTGTAAAGATGGTATTCAATTAGATCTATAATTGTTTTTATTTTAATGAACCTGAAATAATTTTATATTTATCTTTTCTTAAAGGAAATAGATAATGTATTACTATTTTTATAACCTGATACATTGTTTAAATATTTAACAATAATTAATTTCATATTATATTATTAATTTTTTTTAATATCAGAAATATTTTCAAATTGAGCAACAACAATATTATTTTTAAAAAATTAGTAACTTTAAATCTGAAGTTTAAAGTTTTGGTATTTTTAATTTAAGATAGTTTCATTTTCATACAGTCTAGAACTTTTAAGTTATGAAACAAGTAATTAAAAAGGCTTAAAATTGATAAGTGTATAGTGTGTGTATTAACTGAAAATCAGTCACCTAAGTTGTCAATTATCAGAGCTATTGCTAGTAAGTAAAAAGTTATCATGTATTTTCTAATTACTGGTTATTGTATTAAAAAAATAATATGAAAGATGAAAAATTTAGCTACAAAACAATGATCAATGAAATTCAAAGAAAAATTCAAGATTACAGTATTTAAAAAAAGGTTTCCAAGTTTATATCATACTTGTTTCTACCATATAATAATTTATTTGCCAGTTTTTATTTTTTATAATAAATATGTTAATTTATTGTTAAAGCTATGTAAAAAACTAAGTTTAATGTATAATTTACTAAATTTAGTTTATTTCACATTTGCTGGTCATTTACAAATCCTTTTATAAATCTATTATCAAATATTTCATATTCCTAAATACTAACTACTTAAAAATATAATCTTATACATTAGTTATGATTATACTTTATCTGATACAATTTGGGCATTCTCATGCATGTTTGATCCTAATAATTAAATTATTTTGTTCAGATAACACTGTACTGTAACTATAAATTTGATAATGGTTTCTTTATTATTCCTGTTCTTTCACATTTATATGTATGTAATTTTTAAAATGTAGTTAAATTGCACTTTTTCCTATAAATGAATAGTCATATATACACTTACATTCCTTCTATTAAAGAATTTCAACTAGAAACATTTTCATATAATTTAAAAACTATTTGCATCATACATTTTTGAAATTGACATTTGTTATGTAAATTCAATATTTGAATATTTTCACAAATTGGATGTCGTTAGAATACAAAATTTATGCATATTATTTTATTTTGTAAAATTTCAAAATGTTNTTTTTTTTTTTTTTACTAAGAGTTATTTTACTTTCAACAAATGATTTTAATTTTATTCAAATGATCAAAAACTGGAAAAATCTGGAATGTATTCTTGCTGACAAGCTCAATTTTTAGTTTCAAACAATCAAAAAATCACTATTAAAACTATTTGTAGATAAAGATGTTTTAACCTGCTTAGGAATATGGATTTACAGATATTATACTGTATTCTTAATGACCATCAGGTAGACAAGAGTTATTTACAGCGTAGACAATATTTTAACCAATTTTAACATTTATCAAAATGAACAATGAGCTGTTTTAATTCATCCATCTTTCAAAACTTTGCCTTTTTTTCAACATTTAATTACTTTTTAACAGTCACTTTCAATTTTTTGCAAAAGTTATTGAAAGGAGAAATTTAGCCAGTACTTTACACTCTAGAAATTTATAATATGAAAGTTTGAATGGAATAAAATATGCTAATTTATGTAATTGTTTGTAATTTTACATATCTGCATTGTTGCCAGATTGAATATGTTGAATCTAATAGGAATACAATGCAACCCTGTTTATCTGGCTCGAATGGAACTGGGCCCAATCTAGATCTGGAAAATTCATTAATGACATAAATAACACAGTTTAAATGTACATTATATACTTTTACAACAACATTAACAGTATAAAGCAAAAAACATATCTACATACGATATCAGTTCATTGTTTTCTATTAGCTGGTACAGTACAAGTACTGTACAAAAGTTTCCTGAACATTTGTGTGAGGTAGAACTTCTCTTCATGACCTTTTTTTAAGGTCATCTAGTAATTAGGCTTAGTGCTCCGTAGGGAAACCAAAGAACTACTTTGAACTGAAGTAATTGTGATATACTCTACTGTATTTACTTTTGTTACAGATCCTTGGTTATAAAGTTGCACGTGTTCAAAATTGGCATTGAGCCAATGGAAAACAGTATTCTTACAGCTGCAACATTATACTCAGACAAGAATGTACAGTACTACTAACTAGTTCTTTGATTTTTTCATGTATTTAAATTTTCCATATTTGTATCTTTCTTATTCCAGTGTAAGTTTTATTTCCTCAACATAAAGTTAACATAAAATCTGATTCTTGTACAATGTTCATAATCTAAATATTACAGTATTCTACATTTCTGTTATAATCATTCAGTTTTTGCAACAATTATATATTACTCTGATCCATGAAATTATTTAAAAGATTATCCTACTCTCTATATACAATTAAAGATATGGGGAAGGATTTACACTAAAACGAGAGAAGTTCCATGGAGACTCTTCTTGAATAATTGTCATCTTTTCCTAGCCATTGGGTCAATTCAAATCCAGTTCATTGGCTTTCGATGTTTCTATTATAATCTCTAGTTGTTGATTGCCTTCATCCACTTCTTCAAATATGCTGAAAAAGATAGAGAGCACTTCCATCGACCCTTAATCCTTATATGCCCCTCCTGTTTCCCCACTGGGTTTATTGCCCCTCCAGGCCTAACAGACAATGAAACTTTCGAGAAACTTACAAAGGCTTTGTAACCGACAATTGAATACAGTATTATACATATAAAAATGACCAGCAATTATCATACCAGATAAACCAGAGATCTGGATAAATGGGGTTACACTGTATTCTATTATTGGAAAACTGTAAAATTTAGAGTTAGCAGCTTATAGTTCTATTCTGTATGCCTATAATATATATATATATATATATATATATATATACATATACAGGGTTTAAAGGAAATTTTGTTTCCCCAATAACATTTAAACCATCTGTTGCAGTGCCACGGAAGTAATTGTATCTTAGTGAGATGGTGAATCTTGTTTTTTAAGTCACTATACAACTGCTTGGCTTTCTCATAATCTTCTCAGATATGATATCACTATCCAATTGCTTCTCACTTTTCCACACTAGGAGTTTTTCCATCTCTTCAATAACATGCAATCTTTTGGAGGTCAATGTCTTATATTTAGCCATATTTGCTGATTCTATTGCTTTCTTGTTCTTAAGAATGGTGTACCCTGTCAACTTTGGCACTTTAAATATGGCTTCAAGATCTGCCTCACATATAGGGGAGGGTGGGGATGAAAGGGACAAAATTCATATTTTTATTTTTCACTGGAAAAGTTTACTTTTAATTAGTTTTATTTTTAGTGCAAAAGATTCATTAAACCTTTACTTTGTTCTGACCATATTGTGAATTCACCCTATTATATTGGTAGTTGAACATGTTCATATTTTTAAAGACCTCTCCAAGTGTCCCTTTCATTCCCATGTCTGGGTTGAAAGGGACACACTCGGGGATGAAAGGGACTACCTGCGTTCTAATGTAAAACTTGGAATTAGTTATCTCAATGTTTTCAAATTTTGTTGTAACTGATAAGTGATAAGCTAGAGACTAAAATTTTTAAAAATTACACTTTTAATAATATGAATTATGTGACATCACATTTATTTTAAACAGTTAAAGATTACCAATACTTTTAAAACAATTAAAGATTATCAATATTTTTAAAACAATTAAAGAATATCAAATATTTTCAAACAAAGAACAATAACTAAAGAATATCACAATTAGTAGGCTCTCACATAATTAAACTGTCTTTCTTTGGTCAATAGAATGTTTTTCGCAATCTATCCCAGCCGATATGAGGTGAAATCAATGGAAAATATAAACTGTTTGCTTGCTCTTGCTGTTCCTCCTGCTTGGGATGGATGGGGTAGCTTTAAAACTATATCTTCCATGGTGACATCACTGATATCATCCTCTTCAGGAAATATGAACTTGTAACATCCTAATATTTTTTTCATAAACTTGACTTTCAAGTCTTCATCACTCAGTTTCTTTAAAACTTTTCCCACGAAGTAAACAACAGAAGTTTTTTTTGCAAATCTGACTAAAATGAAATCATTGGGCTGAATATGTTTGACACTGTTTTCAATATCAGATCCCTCACTCGATGTTGCATCAGACTTTGAGGAAGAGCTGCTTTGAGATCCTTCATCTTCACTTTCAGTTTCTTCTGGAATATGTTGCAACAGCTGCTTTTTAGATTTTGTCCTCCTTTCTTTGGACTCGTTCTTTCGCTTCTTCGCCTCTTTTTCCTGGAATGCTTGCTGGATTTTATCTTTTTCAGGAGTATCAGTAAGAATCCTTGTTGAGCCTCTTCTGTTAGATTTCGCTGTTTTCCGTGCAGAAGCTTTTGGGAACGGTTTGACAAGCTGAGGTGAAAGAACGCTTGTTCCACTTGTAGACGCTTGAGGACAAACAGGAAGTGTCTTGGGCACAGAAGATGTAGTAGGCACATCAGAAGTGGAAGCGGATGCCATTGGTGTTACGGCTGTGGGTGGATTTTCTGGATCAGGGCGATTAGTAACTTCAGCTTGCAGGAAGTCGTCATCTGTGAAAACTTCACTATTGAACGGGTATATTCCAGTCTTTGCAAAACCTGATAAAATGTTGTTTCGTGTAAGAGATGCATCAAACGCCTCGCTAACAAGAGCAGGGACATCATAAATCGTCATAGGTTTGCCGGGATGATTGATCATCCAGTTGTTTGCAGCAACATTGTATCTGCTTTTCAATGGTCCATAGACGGCAACATCCAGTGGCTGCAGTCGCTGGCTGGTGTGTGGAGGTAGAGTTAGCAGCACTATTCCGTTTTCTTTGGCGAATTTTATTGATTCAATAAAAATGTGGCTGTCATGATTGTCCAAAATTAGGAGTACTGTATGGCTATTGCTTGTAGATGTCCCAGCAAAGTTTGAGAAATGTTGCAAACACTTTAAAAAATTTTCAGCTGTCATCCAGCCACTCTGATGGGCTAGTCCGAGACTTTGAGCAGGCGCTCCTGCCAGCATAAAATCCTTGAAATTAACTCTTGGGAATACAAATGCAGGGGGCAATGCATTTCCCATCGCATTTATGAAACAAAGAACAGTAACTAACTGCCCCCTTTCACCAGAAGTCACTTGGGCTACTTGCTTTTCCCCTTTTCTAGAAATGACATTTGGGGGTTTGTGAACAGTAGTGAAACCTGTTTCATCACAATTATATATTCTGTCTGGAGTGAATTCATATCTCTTCATAACATCTTCTAGATTCTTGAAAAAGTTCCTGACATTTGTTTTATTGAAGCTTGTACTTCGGGCCAAACTTGTTGCTTCGGGTGTTCTTACAGACAAATTCTTATTCCTGGTCATAAAGCCTTGCAACCAATCTAAACCAGCTTGGTTATTAGTAAACCAGGTTTTAGGAATTGTATTTGATTGTACAAGTTTTGCATATTGAAAAGCCAATTCCCTCGTTTGCAGTGTTGTTAAACCGTGATTCATTGATGATGCTTGCATTAAATACAATGCTAATTCTGCCTCCTGCTCTGTAGTAAAAACTTTCCTGTTACCCACACGCGGTGAATACACTACATTGTCTTTTTTATATCTTGAAACAAGTCTAGCCAAATGCGATTTTGCAATTCCGTGGGTACTGGCTGTAGCCCTGATTGATGCTTCTTTTTCGACAACTTCAATTATTGCCCCTTGAATCACTTCTGGCATCACACGTTCTTTCTGTTTCTTTTTCTTATACTTTCGAGGCATTTTTTTCTATTAAAAAAATTTAGCATTAGAGCATGCCAAAAACATGTCAATATGGGGTTGAAAGGGACATGTCCCATTCATCCCCTATTTTACTGTCCCTTTCAACCCCCAGGCCTCAAGCAACCAAAACTACAACCTAACTTTCTGACAGTGAAATATAATTTAAAACCGATTAAATAAACATATTCTAGAGGTTTCAAAGTAATTATCCCAATTCAAGTACATTATCCAATGATTATGTTTGAGATTTTACCCCTAAATGTAAAAAATGAAGAAAACTTACTTTTGCATGCGTTTTCTGCTCATCTGGGAATTCCAAACACTGGCGCTAGTGTATTGGACCCTACAAACGTGTGAAAACTATGGACTACTAGTGTCATCTATCTGTGAAATAACAAAGCTTCATAAGTAATTTAGCAGCAAGATATAGAGACTGTCCCTTTCATCCCTTGTCCCTTTCATCCCCACCCTCCCCTACTGTTTTCATGCTTTGCGATAAATTCCTTTTTCACCTCAATGATGCTACAACCTTCCTCTTAGGCTTCATTGTTTCCACACACTTCTTGGATGCAATGGTTAACAGAGATTATATATATAAACCAAACAAAAAATAAAACAAACAATGAAAAAACACAGCTTAATTCAAGAGCTGCTTTCATAGTGAAAGTGAGATAATTTGGGCACACAACAAACGGTGTTTATGCATTGAGCAGATTTTTTCACTGTGCACAATTTGTACTATGTTGAATTTCTCCCAAATTTAGCATTTCAAACTCTGGAACATTCAAAGTTAGTTGTCGAAAGCAGAGTTGGGAGTTGCTGGAGTTTGACATTTTTGGTTAGTTGGTAAAATTCTTTCAACTCCAGTGACTCTGACCTTGAAGTTTACTATTGGTAAAATGTGAAGTAAAAAATATACTTTTTAATTAATTAGTATTTAAAGAAATTTCTTATAAAACTGACATTTCGATAAATATAGACATCAAATGATACTAACCCATAAAGGCTGTTTTATAGCAAAATGTTATGCATATGACATGTTCTATACTTTCAGAAAATAGTTTTTATTAATTTAAAGTCCACCAGTGGCTGAGTGAACACCTGTAGTTAGTTAGTCATGGGAACATGCCTGGAAAGTAAATGCTTATGGTATAGCTTCAAAGCACCATACTTATCTTTACCAAAGAGAAAAAAGTTGACCATTTCATTTTCATAATTTTTACTTGATGCAATATTTTTTTTACTTCAGATGTTTTCCTTTGAATATTAATTTCTTTTTTTACTAATATTTTCACTACTTTCACTACTATTGGTTTCAAGTTATTTATGACTATTATAGCTTTGATAACATAATATGTCTTAAAACAGCCAATAAAATAGAGTGAAAAAATAAAACAGAGATCAGAATCTAACTGCAACAAACTAAGAGGAAGAGAGAACTGCAAAATATAATTAATAGAATTGTTCCAGCTTATTATTCACTGGTTTAAGTTCTTGAGACCAATTGCACCAATTGGTTTAATCAAGATGATTGATTTCCCCCCAAATTTCATATTTTAATATTCTACTGCATACTTCAGTTTAGTCAACTGTTGCAGCAATTCACTGATTTTGGTAGGAAATTAACTATTCCCATTGTAGTTGGAGCTGAAACTATTTTACAGACCAATTGATTGTCATTCGTCAAATCATTAGTTTTTGCATTTTATTGTATTTAATTTTTTTTCTTGGAAAAAAAATTGATTTAAATTTAATTTTTTTTTCAAGAAAAAAAATTAAATTTAAATCAATTTTTCATAATTAACTAATAAAAGTGGAATTATTTTTAGCTATTAAGATGAAGTGTGTTTCTTTATGTACTCAAAAGTTTTCCAAGGTAAATTTATGATATCCATTTTTTGATTTTTACCATCAATTTCAGTATACTTTTATAGAGAAATTTTAGATAAAAATATTTGGATACTCAGTGGTATCTTTCTTATAAAAGGAATTGTAGTGTGACATTTTAAAAAAGGATAAAGTTGGAGTCAGATTTTTCATTTACCCACTCCACCACACTGGTTGAATGTACTGTACAAGGTACTACTGTAGTGTGGATTCAGTGTAGTAATTTTCTTGAATGTATTAATTAACAGCACTAAATTATGATATTCCTGTATTTATAAATTTGTTATGTTGCTGACATAATCTAAGTCATCTTTTAATTAACTTTCCTTTCTATTTTTAATTTGTAAGATTGAAAACTTGAAAAACTACTAGTTATAAAGAATGAAAGTGCTTGTTTTTATGTACCTTGCTTTGATTATGGTTTATTTTAGTGTATTTTAATGTTGTAAATTTGTACTTAATTTAATTAATAAATTTAACAGTAGACTAATTCTAGTCTGGAAACTTTCAAGGGTTTTTGGTGATATTTAAAAGGTTAAGTAGTAATGATTTTATTTCTAGGTGCAAGACCAGAAAGATTACCTCAGTTTGATGATGATTGCTGGCAATTAATGGAAGAATGTTGGGCTGGTGATCCAGGACAGCGCCCATTGTTAGGCGATGTAGAACCTCGTCTAACAAGAATAATGGAGCGTTACATGGATAAACCTGCTCCAAGTGGGTATCAGGATAAATTGAAAAAAGGAATGCGTAGATGTAGACATCATTCTCGTAAACATAAATAATTTAGAATAGTTTTAAATTAATTTTCTTATAGCACTTTAATATTAATTAAAAATGACATCGAAAAGATTTGTGGAAAATATAGTTTTAGAAGAAAATTAACTAATTACAAAGAAATTAATGGACTTTTATATAGCAACTTTAATTGACCTTTTTATTTAATTTTATATAAACATTGCATCTTGTTAAATGATATTTTTCTATAAGAGCAATGATTACATTAAAAAATTTTATATCATAATTAGGCTGTGCTCTAATTTCTTAAATTTTTTCAATGATATTTAATTAATATATTTCAATAAGTATTGATTGAATACTAAAATTTAAGATCCTATTGTTCAAATGATCAGACTTATAAAGTTTCATAATAAGTATTGTATGAAGTATCAAAGTTATTTCATAACAATAAATTTTGTATGTTTTTATAATTTGAAAATAATACTATTGAGCTTGAAATAAGTCTAGTTTTATGTATAATACAACAGTAAAATTGAAATTAGATATTCTGTATTCTATTACTATATTTAAGTATATTTTACAGAGTTTTCTTTATTGAAACAAAATTTATAATAGCTTAACCATGCATTGTAAAGTCTATGTTAGATAAATTGAAATACATGTATTCTTGAAATTATTATATTTTATTGAAATATGGTATGTTTTTGTATAACATGAATTGCGGTTTTTTAAATTCAATTTTTATGTCTAGTATAATAAAAGTAAAATTAATGAAAATAGGTAAGGAAATACTGTAATCAATAATATGCAGATATACTTATTATTAACATGTAATTCAACTTAATTATTAGCATTATTTACAGTTAACAGAAAAACATTAAAATATGTTTAAAACATTTTACTTACAGTATATTTTTACTATAATGAATATCATCATTTTAGTCTCATGTTTCTGAATATGTAGTGCAAACTTTATATTACCATATCAAGTGCACTATTTGGAAGAAATGAATAAAACTGTGCTATTTAACACAGTGAGTAGCATTCAATAGTTTGTTTGGAATGTCAGAAACTGGAGAATTACTGTTTGCTGACTAAAAATCAGATTGAGAAACAAACTAGGAGAGAGTTAACCTAATCTTTAGACATCTAGCAAAAATACAAATCCACATAAGTTATATCAATTTCATATAAAAACAAGACCTTACTGTAATTAAGTTGTCATTCAAACATACTGCACATAATTTTTATTTGAATTTTAATTTATTTCAAACTCTTATGTAATTCTTTAGATTATCAGAAACTGAAATTCAGATAGAAAATTTATTTTTATCCAGATGAAAATGAAATCTAAGTTCATAGTGTAGATATTACTTGGTTATTGAGACTTGATAATGAAATAACTAAAATATATAATGTTTCATCTGAAGTTTTTTGAATTGTGATCTATTATATACTAACTATATACGTTGATCTTATATCTTTGATTTTGATTACACTGTTGATCTTGATTACACTTAATCTTGATTTGATTTAAAACTTTGTGTAACCTATTCAAATTATTGGTTTAAATTATTTATTATTGTAAAGATGGTATTCAATTAGATCTATAATTGTTTTTATTTTAATGAACCTGAAATAATTTTATATTTATCTTTTCTTAAAGGAAATAGATAATGTATTACTATTTTTATAACCTGATACATTGTTTAAATATTTAACAATAATTAATTTCATATTATATTATTAATTTTTTTTAATATCAGAAATATTTTCAAATTGAGCAACAACAATATTATTTTTAAAAAATTAGTAACTTTAAATCTGAAGTTTAAAGTTTTGGTATTTTTAATTTAAGATAGTTTCATTTTCATACAGTCTAGAACTTTTAAGTTATGAAACAAGTAATTAAAAAGGCTTAAAATTGATAAGTGTATAGTGTGTGTATTAACTGAAAATCAGTCACCTAAGTTGTCAATTATCAGAGCTATTGCTAGTAAGTAAAAAGTTATCATGTATTTTCTAATTACTGGTTATTGTATTAAAAAAATAATATGAAAGATGAAAAATTTAGCTACAAAACAATGATCAATGAAATTCAAAGAAAAATTCAAGATTACAGTATTTAAAAAAAGGTTTCCAAGTTTATATCATACTTGTTTCTACCATATAATAATTTATTTGCCAGTTTTTATTTTTTATAATAAATATGTTAATTTATTGTTAAAGCTATGTAAAAAACTAAGTTTAATGTATAATTTACTAAATTTAGTTTATTTCACATTTGCTGGTCATTTACAAATCCTTTTATAAATCTATTATCAAATATTTCATATTCCTAAATACTAACTACTTAAAAATATAATCTTATACATTAGTTATGATTATACTTTATCTGATACAATTTGGGCATTCTCATGCATGTTTGATCCTAATAATTAAATTATTTTGTTCAGATAACACTGTACTGTAACTATAAATTTGATAATGGTTTCTTTATTATTCCTGTTCTTTCACATTTATATGTATGTAATTTTTAAAATGTAGTTAAATTGCACTTTTTCCTATAAATGAATAGTCATATATACACTTACATTCCTTCTATTAAAGAATTTCAACTAGAAACATTTTCATATAATTTAAAAACTATTTGCATCATACATTTTTGAAATTGACATTTGTTATGTAAATTCAATATTTGAATATTTTCACAAATTGGATGTCGTTAGAATACAAAATTTATGCATATTATTTTATTTTGTAAAATTTCAAAATGTTTTAAATTAAATTTAAAATAAATTTGAGATTATAATGAAAACATGTCATTCATAAAAACAGAAAATGCTTTTATATAATCTTTAATAAAATGAAAATAATTAGGTTAGTGATAAATTTCAGATATGTAAATATTTTACATATTTTTTATTTATTTTGAAAAGACTAACAAAAGTAATAATGTAATATTTTAATGTAATTATATAATTATAATTTATTTCCTAATTTTATTTAATTTATTCATTATTATGATTTACTAAAAATGGAGATATTAGAATTTAATGTTTCAACAAATTGGATCTATATGAAATTTATTGAATTGTAAAATTGAAAATGGTTGTTTAATAAATTATATAATTATATATAAAAATTAATAAGAATTTATATTTTATTTACAAAGTAATTTGTATGTTTGTATAAATACTTCATTTTTTTCCACAATACAAAATTTATTGATACTTTAAAACAAAAGTCAATATACAAAAATTTATATTTTAGATATTTACTTTAATCTCAGATTGTAATAAAAGAAAATAGTTTGAGAGCTTGATGAAAATTTATAAATTAATTTCATAGAATTAACTTTTGAACTATGGGTTTATCATTCTTATATTCCATAACACAATAGTTTTATAAATAACATAATAAAAATACTTTTATTTAAATTATAACATATTAATAAAATATAAAATGAAACTGTACCTTTTGTTTATATATTTAAATTAATTACTAGTTAGTTGGCTTTTGTAATTTTAAATTGATTTTAATTTTGCTGTATTCCTCTGAACATAAATTTTTATCTATTTGCATTGTTCCTCCTCCATCATCAAAAGTATTCTTTTCCATTATCTCATACATTGGGGAGAGAATTTCAGAAGATAATTCCAGTCCAGATGTATTTGTAACTGATAATCATCTATTAGTTAAAATTTTTACTCAAATATGAAGAGTACATTTTTCCACTGCTCTGGTGTTCAATTATAATACTGCTTATTCATTTTATTTGAATTTTTATAGTCATAGCTAAGTAGGCTACAGACCATGGGCCACATGTGGACCAACATAAAATCAAACTTCCTGAAAAGCTTATTTTTATATACTTATTTTTTTTAAATGCATGCAGTATTATAACACTTTTTATTTAAAAAATTGTTACAAGATGCCATTAGTATACACTTTGTCTTTAAAAATATACATTGGGCACTATCCTAGTAAAGCTATTTAAAGCCACTTTGTTAAAAGACAGTTAAGCTATTTCTGCTGTAAGTTAGCTGCTGTAATGATATTGCAGCAAACTTCACAAGCACTGAAGACAAGTTAAGATTGCTATCACCATAAATTATACACATTTCAATAGGTTGGCCAAACACAATCTTGTAAATCCTGAGAAATATGCAGCTTGCATATTTTTTGCAAAAATTTGAAACTAGATTTCTGGAAAATAATAAATATTTTAGTATATTGGCAACTCCATTTTCAGTAGATATAAATATTTTACCTGCAAACTTTCAGATTGAATGTATAGAATTGCAATCATATGTAGAACTGAAAGAAAAATTTAATGATGTCCTCTCAGATAATTTTTATAAAATTCTAATAATCTACAAACAAATATCCCTCACTTCACAATCATGCATTATTCATGACATCACTTTTGGGAAGCACTTACATATGTGAGAATGAAATTCATGAAAAGTAGAATTAGAAGCACAATATCAGATGAACATTTTGAGAACTCGTTAAGAATAGCAGTTACACCTTCAACCTTTGTAAATAGGTACTGGTATAATATACACCACTCTCTCTTCAACTTTAAATGACCAGTAAAATATTTTAAAATACTACAAATGTTTTTGACCATTATTTCTGGTCTTCAGGCAGAAAGTTCCAAGATTTGAATATCCATTGTGCTTGAAAAAATTTAAATTATTCTTAGAACGTATGAACCGATGCATATAGACATTCATACTGCGTGTGCATACTACGCATAGCTTATACAAATGAAATAATATATTTTTTAACACACACACATATAAAAAAAACTGTGGCGATCTGGATTAAATAGGGTCTTCCCATTCATAGTAGAGCTTCCAAGCATTGGAAATATTAATAGCATCCTTGGAGTTGATGCAGTTATTGTGTAGCCCATCTTTATATATTTCGAGAGTTTCCAGCGAACGTATATGTTCTCTTCGGCTTGATACATTAATTATTTGGGCGTTATGCAGGTCCGCTCTTAGGCCGGGGTCAAAGCATAAGTACACAAGGCAGTGATGCCCCTTTTATGTTCAATGTCATATCTGTGTTCCCGTAGACGCTTATCTAGAGAACATGTCGTAGAGCCAATATATACAAGGTCCCTTTGAAACCTATGGTCCCTTAATGGAACCGAGTATACCCCTGGAGCAAATCTTATCTTTATATGATCTTTGCGGTTGCGCTCAGGAAGTCATAAACAGTGGCCTAAGGAAGTTCTACTACGAACGGGAAGACCCTATTTAATCCGGATCGACACTGTTTTTTTATATATGTGTGTTAAAAAATATATTATTTCATTTGTATAAGCTATGCATAGTACGCACGCGCAGTATGAATGTCTATATGCATCGGTTCATACGTTCTAAGAATAATTTAAATTTTTTCAAGCACAACGGATATTCGAATCTCGGAACTTTCTGCCTGAAGAAGACCAGAAATAATGGTCGAAAACATTTGTAGTATTTTTAAATATTTTACTGGTCATTTAAGGTTGAAGAGAGTGTGGTGTATAGCAGTTACATCAATTGAACCAGATATAGATGTATTAGTTCTCCAGAAACATCAAATAATCCACTAATAAAGAAAATAAAATTTCTATTTTTTGTACTAAAAGTATATAAACATCTAATTTCATATTTTTAAATAATAAAAATATCTGCATTTCCTATTTCCATTTTATAAAACATTTTTTATTTCAGTGACTAAAACTTCTTGACCTGCTCAATGATTTTTTTAAAAAATTCTGAACAATAAAGTCAGATTATTATGTTACAATGTTTTTGCTTATTTGTCTTGGTGGATATCATATATTGTACCTATATTATTACTTAACAACTATTGTTAGAATTAGTACATTTTATGTACCACCCAAGACAATTTTTTTCTTCAAATGTGGCCTAAGGAAGCCAAAAGGTTGGACACCCCTGCTATAGACCAAAGGTTTTTTTAGTATAGTCTTCTTTGGTGAAACTTTATAACTAATCCATCTTGATGCCATTCTTCTTGTTGCCAAGGCAAGACTTCAAGGAGAGTTGGCATATTTTGGTACTTGTAAACTTATTTTGGACTATATCTTGACTATCTTTAAGTGTTATACACCATGATCAACCTTCAGAAATATACACTAGACATACATCTATCTGTTGAGACTACTGCCTGTATAGTCTAGAAATTATACTGTTGAACACATTCATAAATCTGGCAACTTCAGCTTAACTTGACCAGCTTCTATCTTAACATATCTAGAAATGTGCATAAGTGTTGAGTAGCTAGAAAGCTTGGTTCTGCTTTTCATGCATTTCATCTTGTTTTCCCATAAAGTACAAGTATAATTGTTTCATAGTGTTTTGAGTATGATATTATTACAATGCTCTACTAATTAACAGACTTCATGATGATGGCTTTTATGAAAAATATTGGCATTATGTTTGCCACAATTTGTCAAGATCACATTTTTAATTTGTATCTTGTTCTTGTTTGGAAAATTTAGGTTTTACCTCAGAACTATTACATGATTTACACACACTTCTTTTTGTGAATGTTCCTTATTTTGTTTTATTTTAAACATTGTAGTGTAATTAATGCACTATGTATGATACATACAGTAGTCATGCAATGCTGGAAAGATCTTTTGCACTGGATAAAGGTTAACATCCTGTGTGTGTGTATGTATGTATATCCAGAGTATGAAGTATATCCATGCATTTTAATATATAATTGTTGTATAATGATGTACAGGGATATAAATTAGCATCATAAGTAAAAGTGATAATGAAGTACCTTGATTTATTGTTTTACATTAGATTTTGAGTATACTTTGAGTTAGTTTTCTGTTGTATTTGTTTTCAGTTTTTCAGTATTACATACAATTTTAAAAGGTATCTTGTCAGAATGTCTATTGATTTGCAAAAATTTAACCATCTGTTTTAGACATATTCCAATATATTTTTTTATATTTATCAACAATCTTAATTCAATTTTTCTAAAATAAATTTTATGGGTTGTCATTATATATTTTCACAAAACTATTAAAAAAAAGTTATGTCTATTATAGAATCGAACGTAATTGTCGAATGTTAGATAATAAAGAAAAAACCCGAAACGACAACAAAGTAGAGAGATAAACAAAAACTTTCATCAATAAAGATCTTCAAGAGCACCTGCTGATGACAGTATGAATAACTTGGAAGTGAGAAAAGAAATATCATTCTATACTTCATTGATAACCTATATCATATATTTGCCATAAAAATATTTGCGGTTAAGATTCTTCCTCATATCAACGTATAAAACATCATCATTACATAAATTTTATTCTTATTCTTATTTTTCAAATGACATAAAACTGCTTCGTTATTAAAATTGATTTACGTCGACTATTTTAACAATAAATTACGAAACAATTGATCCAANAAATTTGCATTTACCAAATCTTTATAAAGTACTGTTAATTCAGAGTTGTCAATATTTTGTTTATAATAAAGAAAATGAAAATACATCATATATACTAGAATTTGTTGAAAATTTTATTAAAATTTGGCTTTTTTTTAAAACTGATGACTGATAAGCTTAACTATTTCATTGTTATGTTTATTCATCAGTAGTAAAGATTAAAAGTGGAAGCATTCTTTCAAAAAATATATCTTAAAACAAAACAAAAAAATAGTCATAATGAAATTAATTTTGAATTTTTAATTCATAATCTCAAATATTCATGTACTGAAATAGTTCATTATGTAAATGTGAATTATATTAACAAACATTAAAGATAGAAATAAAAAGCATCATCATAGATGATTTAAACTACTAATCTTCAATAAATAAGCATGAAAATTGCTAATTTGATGAAGCAATTGCTAAATGCAATAATTTGTACTATGTTAAAATTGATATTAAGCATATAGCCCTTATGCTATCTCTTGGTAATATTTGATATGATTTAAATAATGAATGAATTTTAAATAGTGAATTATAAGATTAGAAATATTCAAATTATGAGAGAAGACTATCAGCAGATGCAGAGACAGATCTAAGTTTTCAGGGCCTAGGGCTTATTGAAGTCCAATGAGGCCCCATTTTTTGTTAATACAAATGATAATATAAATTATCATTATTATTATATTATTAACTATTTTTTACTATATGATAACTGCTCATTGTTAATGTAAAAGTATTAAAAATTTACGATGCTAATTCAATTTTTTGTGAGCCCTTGACACTTGGATTCCCAGGGCTTAAGCCCTATTAGTCCCTATGTAGATCCACCCCTGAACAGATGTTAGATATTATCCCTTTCAGGATGTTTGAATATTTTGAAATTGCTTTGCATAAATCTCTGAAAGGAGAATATATTTATCTTTAAGAACCAATTTATCATTTCTGAATCCCACTTTTGTCAAATTAGTTTTGGAATTAACTAATTTATACACACTGTAAAATCATTTCTACAGATTCGTTAAAGTTTGAAAAATTTGTCTTAAAGTGATTTTTTTTTTTAAAGAAAACAAAATTTCAGTTAATTTATACTTCACATGCTAACAGATTATTTCCAAAGAATACTAATGGTATTAGGATCCTTGCAGTTGTAAAATGTGAACTATGATGGAGGAATTTTAGTGACTTATACTAAGCAATGAATAAATGACACTTTGCTATACTTATCGATATTTAATTAATTTTATTTGTATTGTCTTATTTGTTTTATAGATAATGCTCTGTTTTTAAACATGTTAAAGAGATTAAAAAACAGAGTATATCTAAATTTTAAATGTTGCTTTTTTTTGTTTTGTATTTTGTTTTTGTTCTTTGTTTACTAAGATAAATACTGATATAATTTTAGGTTCTCGACTCTTAGAGAAGGAAGTTGGTTTCTTGTCGAGTAGTCCCTACATTGATTTGGAATTTTGTCCTGGTTAACCATTCCGAGTAATCAGCATATTATCAACAATTCAACCAGAGACATCATCTCTCTTCTGTCTTAACATACAGATGCCATACTGTATCTTACAAGGAGGACAGAGTCATCAAACCAATTCAGGATATATTTGATCCAAGATATTTGTTGCATTTTTATTATTATGAAGATTTTAATTAGATTTCACATTTATTAAATTTATATTAAAACTTTGTGATATAGAGATTTAATGAAATGTCAATTTTTATATAACTTATTGTTGAACTGTTATAAAAGGAAAATGGCAACTTACTCTTAGTTCATCAGAGTATTAATGAACAGATATAAAGCTAACAAAATTTACTAAGAGTTCATTTTTATATTTTGAATTTTTTAATAAATCTTAATAATATGAATATTTTCATTTATTGTGAGATAATATCTAAGCAGTAGTCAAATACTAGTCTTCAGTTAAAAATAACAAATTAGCCTATTTTAATAAAGTAGGTTCTTTTGAAAGTAATTTCTTTTAATTTTTATAAAAGTACCAGTTCTTAATCTGTTTAGTCATCAATTCAAACTGCTGGTCAGACATACAGTATTTTGTTGGTGCATAAAATGTTCATGTTCATTTAGCAGCAAGAATTCTTATTCATAGTCTATTTTAATGTAAATGAAGTGCAAAAGTAGTTATTGAATAAAAGTTTATTATTTTATTATTATTGTTTTTTGAATATTTAAAATTTTAAGATGTGCACATTATATAAAGAAGTTTTAAATGAAAATGTTCTCTCATAAATTCCTAAGAGAAAAAAAAGTTTACTTTTCAATCTACTACTATATTGCCTTAAATTTTTAAATTTACATGTATAAATATTTTTAAGATATTTTCTATCATCTGATAGACTACTATTCTTTCATTTATCAAGAAATATTTTTTATATTCATCATAAAATGTACATTTTAAACTGATTTTGTACTAATTTTTATGAATTGTTTTACTACAGTAATTTTATTTATTAATTGTTGTGTAGTCTTTTGTGAACTTTGTAATGTTTGCTTTTGTTTGTTTGGATTATTGTATTTTATATTGCTAAATTTCATTGTATATTAGAATTTATATGAACTGTATTGTATATAGCATGTATGTAATAATTGCTGAGACAAATTATTGTATACAAATATTGTAATTTTTCAGAGAATTATATATATTTTATGAGTACTTCATTAATTAAAATTTTTTCTGATAAGATGCAAGTAACAATTATTAATGAAAGAAAATAAATATTATTAAAAAAGGAATTTGTTGGAAATATATTTATGCATAATTGATTTTTCTTAAACTGTTATAATCATAATAATCTGTTGTAAAATATCATTTCCATGAAATTTATTATTTAATAATAGATTTAAGAAACATTAAATATTTGATTAAAAAAATAAAGGGAAATAATTAAGATCATAACACATTTTAACAAAGTATTTAAATATGAAGTTGGGTAATTTAATTTGTCCAAAGAGCTATAAGACAAATTTTGTTCTTGGACTTGTAACAACTTAAAACTACAACTTTTGAAATTAGTTTTTGAAACTAATTAATATAAATGTAGGTTATTAAGGGGACACAAAATCTTACAATAAAACAATGTTCTATTATATTTTTTAATATTTTTATTAGTAACAAATAAGCCAGACTGAACCAGTTATTCCAGATCTCTGGATAAGTTAGCCAGGGCCCGCTCTAGAGGCGAGCAACCCGGACATTTGTCCGGGGCGCCATTTTTGGCTGTAAGTGTGAGAAAAATATTGGTGTGTTAAATATTCAATTAATAGAAAATTTCACGTATCGATTTTTACGTTCTGTAAAAATTTAGTGCATATCCTATTTATATTGTTTGTCTAAAAGCTAAAAATATTTACACTATTATTGAAAAATTAACGCAGAATTTGTAAAGGACGATTCTTGAACTTGTTTGAACATGCATACACGTCTCTGAATAGAGCGCTGCTTCAACTTATGTTTGAACATGCATAGACTCGCTTATACCTACCTCTAATTATAAAAGAGCGGTTTCATTACACAATAGCATTATTCTTGCTATTACGTCGGTAGTGATAAGTGAAAGTTCATAAAATTTACTTTAGTGCGATTTCTTAATTTTTAAAGGTAAGTGCAGTACATCTATAATTAACTCTAAACGCACAGTGAGGAGTTGACTTTTTTTTAGACGTCAGAATTTTTCATCGAGCTATTCGGACTTCAGTAGCTAATGTTGAAAGATTAATCGCGGGCCGCATAAATTCATTAGACGGGCCGTATGTTGGCCATGCCTGGTTTAGGCACAATCTCAAAACAGCCAGAACGCAGACGAAAGAACTATTTGAAAGAATTGATGATTCGGTTTTATTTAACATATCAAGAAATCAAACCGAGGAGTAATTAATATAGATTTGGAGATAATTACTGAGATATATTTATTTGGAGATGATACTGCATATTATCTTTTAAAAATCATGATCACTATAAAAATAATTCACAGAACTATACATAAATGATGTGGTAGTTTTCAATTAACTTACGTGGTGCAGCTTGTTACCGCTAAAGCTCGAAAGTCGTTAATGTGTACATTACCTAGCTAATATGCAGATTAACTAAGGTGATCCGTTAAAGTTGTGAAAATTGTTCCATTACTCAAATTACCTAGATAATGTGCAGAACATCTAGTTAATCCGCACATTACCTACTAGACACTCGGTAAAGTGAAAATAAGATCTTTGCCACAAATAAATGTATCACAAATAAGTGTGCTTGTCGCAAAAACCAATTGCTATGAAATTCAAAGTGTCACCAATCTTTAGACTGCACTAATATGTAAGTACAATTGGTTAATGTTACTTATGGTGAGTAAAATTGCGGCTCGTCTCTGATTCCAGCAAAGAGGAGACAGGAAACAGTGGGGACGCACGTTCAAACCTAACCTAACCTATTCTAATAATTTGGTTGGTAATAATTATGGTAATTTATTAAAATAGGTTAGGTTAGGACAGAATGTGCGACCCCACTGTTTCCTTTCTTCTCTTTGCTGGAATCAGAGACGAGCCACCATTTTACTCACCATAGGTAACATTAACTGCACAATTATATCATGCGATCACCAGAAAAAGTATGATAACTTTATTATTTTTCGTCTCCGGTACAAAAGTAGGGTATCATTGAAGTCGTCTCGGTCCCCTCAGTTCAGATAGATACTCAAAATCCCGAAATTCCATAGGTGGTTATCTATATCAGTGTTTTTCAACCTGTGGGTCGCGACCCCAGGAGGGTCGCAAAGCCTTACACGGGGGGTCGCGGGTAAAAGAAAAAGACAAGTGTTTGTAGGTCCTACACTACAATAAATAAAACTACAATTTTAGTGGAAGGATTTGCGCTTTTATTTTAAAGTACAATTGGTTTTCGATCGATATTTAGGTCTCAACAGAAAGAAAATTAAATACGTAGTTTTTAAAATCACTGATATATTTTTAATATGACCCTGGGGGGGTCGCCAGAATTTTTTTAACTTCTAAAGGAGTCGCGTATTCAAGAAGGTTGAAAAACACTGATCTATATAATAATTTTCCTAATTTTATTAATATTTTAAACCGTTTGATTTTTTGTATGTTTTTTAATTGGTTGATGATTGATTCTATCAAGTAATTTGTTGAATGTTTGATTGTATTAACTTGATTCTTTAGATATCGAAAATTAAATAAAGAACATTATGTTAATTTAAGCGTACAGAAACGTTGCTGTTGTTCCAGCAAAGATCTTATTTTCACTTTACCGAGTGCCTAGTAGGTAATTTGCAGATTACCTAGATAATCTGAAC